GAAACCAAATTTTGTTCTATTTGCGGTAATCCCACACAATAGTTAATATGAATTCGTTACATAATACAAATTAAGGTTTTAAAAACTTTTAATTTGTTTTAAATTATAAGGTTTTTATTCTGCATAGAAATGCTGATTCGGTTCATCTTAAGTCACACTTGGAAGCCCTCAAAGTGTATGAGAACCTTCCCTAATTTTATTACTATTTTCAAAATATTTTTACTTATTTATTATTATCCCCTCAATAACAAGACACTTGGGAGTAAATAATACTAATATACTAAATAATAATAATATGGTATAGACTCCAACTTTAACTCTGTAGCCCTGAATTCATAACTTAATTAGACACTAGCAATTAGCGTGTTTTTATAACTTGTCCAATAGTAGCTAATAACTTTAATTACTTAAAATTTTTTGCCAAAGCCAAAGATTCGGAAAAAAATTGACCTGGCTTTGGCCGAACCGAAGCTTCGACAAAATTGCCGACGCTTCGGCATGCCGAAGCCGAAGCTTCGGTACATCTCTAGTTTTAGTTTAAAAATTTTTCAAATACTGCGTTTCTTTCTTTGTAATTTAGAAATTTTACTATTATTGTTCTGTTCTTTTTAACTCCTTTTTCGTTTCTTCCTGTTCGATGTGCCTTTTCAATCTCTAAATCATTATTAAAACCAAACTTGGATTTCAAGACTTCTTGAATTTTTCTCTCGCTATCTTCCCATAATTTGTTTCTTTCTTCGACTCGATTAAACCTAAGATTATTCCTACAACTTCGATCTTCAAGTTCAGCAAGTTTGTCTTTTAAATCATTATTTTTTTTAAACTTTATGTTATCTGTTAGTTCGACATTTGGAATTGCGTGTTTGTTCAGTTCTTTCAATTCGGTTAGAGTTGTTTCATATTTCTCACTTACAAAGTCGACTGCCTTTCTTAATTCCATCATTTTATTTTTAAGATTTTTATTTTCTTCTTGTATATTATTAAATTTAATTTCCATTTTATCGAATTTATCATTAAAAAGTTTTATTATTGTGTTTTCATGTATCTTCAGTAAATTCTTTATATTGGTTGCTGAAAATTTCGCCAATTTTTTTTTTCCTTTGAAAAAAAATACGTCCGTTCACGATCGCGGTTGACAAGTTTTTTTTGTTACAAAAAGTCCATAGCTTTTAAAAGGAGTCATAATTTTTTTCGATTTCCAACAGTTTCTTTTTAATTAGCAGTATTCATTTTCTATTTCTTTTATTATTATATCATTCTCTACCTCCTTGGCTGTTTTAAATGACATAGCATTGTTTTCCATTGCACAACAGACTCGAGCTGCAAGAATTTCTTTCCTGTTATCTTCAAGTCATTAAGACCCAATTAAATTTTCACATATATCATAATCTATTTTAGTTTATATATGTTTTATATTTGTTTTAACAATAATTTGCTTTGTTTATGTTGTTTGTTTATACTTCGTTTACTCAAGAGTTTAATGCTGCGAATAGATTTACCTCCCTTATAAACTTGATCTAGTCATTTTTTAAATATTGCATTACGCGACTCGAACTGGTGCATTCTGGATCTTTTTACCAAAATACTAAACAATTAAACAAAACAGTTTCTGCAAGTAAACATTTTATAAAGGAACCCAACAAATTTTAGAACAATAATCACCAATAACAAGTTATAGAGATAAAAATGTAAACTATTTTATTGAATATATTAAACAAAAACTAATATATATATATACATATATATATATATATATAATATATATATATATATATATATATATATATATATATATATATATATATATATATACATATATATATATATATATATATCCGAATTTAAAGGGTTTTATATAGATTTAAATATAACAATGAACCTTATTAGGTTCTTAATCTATCTAATGATGATGTAACTTATGAAATACTCTTGCTTATTTTTTTATTTAAAAGTTTCTTTCATACAAAATTTTTAAACATTTTAGCAATTGTAAGCATTTTATATTTTTTTAAATAAAAATTTAAAGTTAAAAAATCTCATTGTAAAATGTAATTTTAACCATGAATTTGTTTGATAATTCGAATTAATTTAGTGTGGATTAATTTAGAATAGAGTTAACATGTTCAATTTGTTGTTGGTAAGATTTTATAGTTTAAAATATATATATATATATATAAATATATATATATTTTTTTTCTTTTTAAGAGAATTTGTATATATATATATATATATATTTCAAGAGAATGACGGAAAACTTTTGCAATTTTTATGTAATGTAAGTTAACTATAACATGTTGAAGTTTTAAAAAGTTTTAAGTTAAAAAAAACTTAAATTTTTAATAATATATGCAAAAGAATAATAAATAATACTTTATTATGCATTTAAAGCATTGAATAACGATGCTTAGTTAGAGCATATTTTAATTTTGAAGGAGTGTACTCTCGAGTCCATAATATAAGGGTGGGAAGGGGGTGAATAAAGTGGGTTGAGAATTTTTGTCTAGATTTTATGAACGTGTGGGGGGGGGGGGGGGGATTGGGTAGGTTAATAAAAAGAGGAGTGGGAAATTTTTTATCTAACAATATAAACAATTTTTGTAAAAAATTTCAGTTTAAAAATCAAAACTAATATTTTTTACAAAAAGCGTATAAAACCATTTAATTACTAGCGTGGCTTGCGCATTTTCTTTAGTGATTAAAATAATTATTTTCTCATTTTTAAGGTTATATTCATTGCTTTTTTGTTGTTGTTGATACCAAGTAAAAATTAATAAAGGGGGAGGAATGGGGGTCTTAATGAGCTTGGGGTGAAGAGGAAAACTTTTCAAAAAATAATTAATGCCCCCCTTTCATTTTTTTTTTTTTTATTTAATAAAAAAAAGTACTCGAGAGTAAATGCTTGTTGTTAAAATGACATGCATTTACCAAAGTTCTAGCACTTTTTTGTAACGTTTTTGTTGCTTACAAAATACAAAATAAACACTTATGTTTTTCATCGCAACTTCCAAGGGGTTCAAAATAAATTGCAGTGATGGCGCAGAGGTAGCGCGCTTGCCTCAGAAACAAGGATCTGTGGTTCAAACCCCACCTCTGGGCAAGTTTTGTGATATCGGTTAGGAAGGAGGCGTAAAAATCCAATTAAATGCTCATCCGCGGTGCTCTGTGATAAGACCGTAAGGACTTTTTAGCGCACCTAAAAAAAACTAAAAAAAAAAAAAGAAAAAAATTAAATATATATTTTTTAAGTTTACATTTTTTGGAGCATATATATATATCTTTTCAGAGCACAGTTGCAATATTAAAAATTATTCATAAAAGCAAAAAGTGAAAGATATATTATGAATCTTATAAATTTTTTATGCTAGTAATGGCCAAGTAATACTTTTATGCTAGTAATGGCCAAATCAAAGCGGTTGCGACCAGATCAAAGCGGAACTTCATCATAATGCATTTGAAACAAATAAAAGTATCAAACATTTTTTATTTTAAAATATATTCGAATTTAATTAATATTTTTGTTTAAAAAAATCAATTATAAATGCAATTAAAGGGGGGTGTCACCCTTTATTTTTTCAACTTTTTACAAAAATTAAAAAAAAATAAAGGGTGACGCCCTTCCTTCCTGTAACAAACGATCACATATATCTGTACTCTCTCTCCTTCCTAAATTGAGGTAGAAGTTTTTGCGTCAAAAATATTTTTAAAAGTTTAAATGTAAATACTTTGCAGCATTTTAAGAATTCAACTTAAATAAAATACGGCAATACACTTAAATATAAGAAGTAAAATGTTTTGCTAAAACATTTTAAAACTTAACTAAGCTAATATTATTTGAATGACTCAATAAGTCATTGACTCAATTTGTCATACAATTGAAGTATAAAACAGATGGATATTCATTATGCTGCAAAAATCAAAGCAATTTCAAGTTGTCTTGGGAGTATGCATTGTAACCGACAATAAAATAAAAACAAGTTTCACTAGACAAAAAACAAAATTCACTGAAACGACTTTTATTAAAACATTAAAAAAAGAATTATTCTTGGTAGTTTTAACCATTGGTAATTGTCATTATTCAATAATAGGTTATGGTAAACTATGGGTAAACCTTGGTAAAAAATACAAAATTTTTAACAAATACAATATAATTATAGGTAAAGTTACAGTTTAGCGCTCTAAAATAATTTTATTTTTTCGCTTGTTGCGCTCTCGTTAGTGGAGAGCTTTGAAACATTAGAAATTAAATAAAACATTAATTAAAATTATAAAAGAAAAAAAATTGCTGCCCTATGCCAAATATTCACTCAATGTAGCAGCATTTCCTTGTAGAAGCAGGTTAAGAGATAGTCAATGTAGCAACACTAATTTGTAGGAGAAGGTTATACGATAATGGATGTAACAGCACTCCCTTGTAGCAGCACCCTTACGGAAAATTTCCATGAAAAAACCCATGAAAAAAACCCATGGAAAAACCATGGTTATTTGGAACACGTTTTCATGGGAAACCCATGAGTTTTGCATAGGAAATCCATGAGTTTCCTATGGGAAACCCATGAGTTTTCAATGAAAACCCATGAGTTTTCCATGGGAAATCCATGAGTTTTCCATGGGAAATTCATGAGTTTTTATGGGAAACCCATGAGTTTCCCATGAAAAATCCACGAGTTTTTCATGGAAAAGTGTTCCAAATACCATGGATATTCAATGATTTTCCATGGAATTTCCATAGGTATTAGGAACACCTTTCTAAGGAAAACTCATGGATTTTTCATGGTAAAAAAGCATGATTTGTTTTCAAGTTTTTTTGATCTAATGTTATTTGAATTGTCATATTACATCATAAAAGCAAATTTTATCACACTAATATTATTGAGTTCTCTTAATCTATGAGGTCGCTTTCTCCGAATAAAATCAATAAACAAAATAAAATTTAAATCTTGTTAAATCCTACAAATCTATGAAAAATAATAGCTTTAATGCACCTAAAATATCAAAACTTGACTTTCCCACAATATTTAATGCATGCATATGTATAACATACTGAAAATAAATAAAACAAAAAATTACAAGTAATATAATACTATAAGTGATATACATAGTGATAAACAATTGAAATATATCAAGAAAATAATTTTTACAGAAAATAAAACAATTTACGTGTTTATTATTTTATATTAACTATTTGATAAAAATAGTATATATAAATTTTATAATAACTTCAAGTTTTAATGATAAAAACATCAAGCCCATTTAACCGTAGTTAGTCTCATTCTTCATTTTACCAATCTAGACAATACATCATACAACTATTATATACATTCTAACTAGTTTTCTTTATTTACAAATTCATTTTACTTATAATTATTATCTATTATAACTTACTTTATAATTAGAATTATAATTAAAACTATATACAATTATGAATGTTGCCAAATGTTAGGTAACATTTATATAGAAAAAAGTAGCAATGCATATATCATTATTTATAAATAAAAATTATAAGATTGTTACCTCTTTTTCGCCTAAGCTATCTGCATTATGTACAACATCGTTTATATTTCCAGTCAAACATTCCTGCCTATAATGTAACTTAATTAAAATGACTTATTCAAACTAATACATATATAAATGTTACCTGCATGTTAGAAATATTAATATAGAACAAGGCAGCAACAAATATTATATTATATATATACTTTTGTAATTAAAAAAAAAACTTACTTCTTCTTCTGAGCTGTCTGCATGATGTACAACATCATTTACAAACCTTCTTTCTTCAGGTCCTTACCATCTTTTAATATATTATAAAGCACAGGACTTGTTAACGAATGGCTAAATAAATAATTTAAAAATTTATATTGCCAGTCAAACCTGCCTGCTAATAATTTAGTAACTTAAATGAAATGATAAGGTTAAAATGAAAAGATTTATACACATATATAAATTTTACCTGCATATTAGTAACATTTATATAAAACAAGGCAGCAACAAATATAGTATAACTTATAAATTGTAATTTTTAGTAAAAACTTACTTCTTTGTCTGAGCTGTCTGCATGATGTACAACATTATTTATATTGTCAGTCAAACTTACCTGCTTATAATGCAGTAATTTAAATAAAATGATAAAGATAAAATAAAAGAACTTACACACACACCATTAAATTCAAAAATTTACTTTACTATTTAAAACATAACAAATATGTAATTTATAAAGTATAGTAATGTAGAAGCATAATAAATACCAAAGTGTGTGCATAAATTAATTTATTTTAACTAAAGACGAGCACTTTACATTAGTTAAATATAAACAAATAAAAATAATTGTATTATAATAAATAATAGTGTATTATTTATAAACATTGCTTTTATATGCTTATATTTAAGTATGAAGTAAAATCTTGTGCATTAATTAACTTTCCTTTTTTTTGATACTTTTAAAATATTACCACAGTTTTCCGTCTCCAACTAAGTGGTTCTTGGAACATCCTTACAAGTTGAATTCCAAAGATTACGTTTATATCTTTTCTGGTTAATATAAACTCAATTCACCATTTTATTTTGACAGCTTTTGAACTATTTTTAAAAATATTAAATGCATATAAAAACTGACAATGTTATAAACAATATAAATGATGAACAACATTATTTATATTGCCAGTCAAACCTGTCGGCTTATAATGTAGTAATTTAATTAAAATAATAAAGTAAATATAAAAGAATTTATAAACAATATTTATATTACATTATTTACATATTCTAATAATTCTAAAGAAAAAACAACAACAAAAAGACAAAAACAACTCAACAGAACTAAAATTGAATAGAACATTTATCATAAAAAAACGTTTATTAATACTTAATGAACATTTATCATACAATAAACTTCAAGCATTTTTACGTAATCTAAGGCTATTATAAAAATAAAATAAAAAAGATCATACTAGTTATCTTTTGTACATTAGTTCTTATTATCTTAGTTTTCTAATCTTTTCTGATATACTGCTTATATATTAATATTTTAGATAAGTTTGTTTAATATATTAGATAAGTTTTATAATAATAATTATATTAGTTTTAATGTACATTAGATTACACTATGTACATTAATACACTAGTTATTTAATGTAGATTAAAACTAAACATTTATTTGTTGTAAACCAAATAATAATTATTTGGCAAATAATTTGCCAAGTAAGCATTAAAATTCAAACTGGTTTACTTGAAATACTTGCTATACTATTGCAAGTTATGTAAAGTAAGCAAAGCTACTGGAAACAGTTAAAATAGGTATATGCATAAATGATATATAATTAAATATAATTAAAAATAATCCATTTTATAATGCATTATAATATGATAAATATATCTAGTTATTTATGTCTGTGTTTAGTTTGAATCATCTAAATGTGATGCATTATAAAAAACATATAATTTATAGTCTTATTAAACACAGAAAAACAGAAGAATGCAGTAAGTATTGTTTACTCAAGTTAAAAGTAACTCTACGAGCTATGACGCCATCTTTAGAAGCGCTTTCGTAACAGCATAAGCTTTAAAAAAAACCACGGTACACCCATGGAAATTCCATGGGATTTCAATTTTCATGAAATTCACCCATGGAAATTTCATGGAATTTCCGTTTTCTATGGGAAAACCATTGTTTACTCATGGAATTCCATGGGTTTTCCATGGAATATTTCCGTAAGGGCAGGCTATAAGATAGTCGATGTATGCACTAAAGCCGATAAATATTCTTTGTTTATATTAAAAAGTCACTACTTTGAACAAGCCTCCAAACAAAAACGCAACAAACGATAAAATAAAACTATTTTAGACCACATATCTGACCCAGTGGACACTGGACCAAAAAAGTTGTCTTCTGAACGTTTAAAAAAGGTTCTGAACGTCTTTTGGACGTTTAAAAGACGTCTTTTTAGGACCAAATGCCGGCTGGGAGAGTACACGATCGGTATATGAATAATAAAGTGCGCGATCGATAACGTAAGTGATATAACATAAATTAAATATATAGTACAAATAGTATTAGTAATTGTAGTTTAAATTGTAGCTGCGTTAACAGCGAATGAGTTAAAAACTCACTTTGACAGCTTTTGATAATAAACAACAAATCAATCCGAAAAACTAAAAAAAATAGTTGTTAATTTAATTTTTGATGACGCCTAATTTGTTCTTAAAATAGTTTACATTTGTTGAATATTCGATTTCCGATGGCAATTTGTTCTGTTCTGTTTATAAGAAATTCGTGTCTCGGCATAAACTTGTTTTGTTCTCTACTATATTTTTTATTGTGACCTCTGCTTGATTTTGAGAAATATGTTTGTTTAAAAATTCTACTTTTTCAATTTTATTGAAAATATAAAATATATGAATAAGATTTTCTCTTTCTCTTCCTTCTGACAATGTTATTAAATTTAGTGTCTGTCAGCAGCATTGGTACTGCAGACTTCTTTTTTTTTTGCCATCCTTGTCATTCTGTGCTGTAATCTTTATAATATTTCAATATCACCTTTGTAGTTTGGTGACCAAACTGGTGCTGCAAATTCAATCAGAGGTCTAACGAAAAGTTGAAAGTTGCTTGACAAGAAGTTGATTTAAATGGTGTTTTTTATCATCCCTATTATTGCATTTGCATTTGATGAACATGGTACTATGTGTTTCTTCCATTTCAGTGATGTATCAAAATTTACTCCGAGATCACGTTCATTTGTCGAATTGTTCATTTTTCATCCATTAACTGTGTAATTAAATTTTATGTTGGTTTACCGTAATGCATAACTACACATTTACTATCGTTCAGTATGATTAATCATTTTTCTGACCACTCTTCTATATTATTTAAGTCTCTTTAAATTAATCTAGCGCCCTCAATAATTAAGAAAACAAATTTATTTTCTTTAAAGAGTTCTCAACATCTTGTAAATTTTTCCAATGTAATTCGCGTGATTTCCAGAAGTTTGATCTAAAAGTTAAAACAACTTTTTTTTACCTTGTTTTCTGCGTGACGTAAGTAAAGTATATATATATACTTTACTTACGTATATATATATATATATATATATATATATATATATTACGTATATATATATATATATATATATATATATATATATTACGTATATATATATATATATATATATATATATATATATATATATATATATATATATATATATATATATATATATATATATATATATACATATATATATATATATATATATATATATATATTATATATATATATATATATATATATATATATATATATATATACATACATAATGTCACAAAACAAGTGGTTTTGTGACGACTCATACGGAAATAAAGAGTTACAATGATGTGACGAGGTGGGGGGGGGGGGGAAAGGGTCATTGACGGTCAAATTTTTCGTGACGTAATTTGAGGACAACCTCTTATGATAAATCTCAGTCAATTTAATTCAAGTAAACTTTAATTTAAATTTTTTAATACTAAATTACGTTACTAAATATCTATTTGTAACGTAATGTATAAAAAAATTGCCAAGCGTCATAATAAAGAGTAATAAGAAACAATCACAAAAACAAAAACGGTCATACAGAACTTGGGCGTAAAAGTTTTATTATAAATAACCTAAGTAAAGTTGATTTTTTGAATGAATTAATATTATCGACTTTTCTACTTAAAAAACACAAAAAAAAAGATTGCTGAACTTCCGATAATATAATTATAATATAAATGTTTCTCGTTTAAATTAAAACTTAATTGAAAGTGATTAAAAAAAAAAAAATTTTTTAAACTTGCAAATAACTTTGTTGTCATCTAATAATTATCTTTAATACTTAAATGAAACAAGCAGGTTATATATATATATATATATATATATATATATATATATATATATATATATATATATATATATATATATATATATATATATATATATATATATATATATATATATATATATATATATATATATATATATATATATATATGTATATATACACATTCATTTCTTTAGACAAAAGAAATAATAATAAAATGAATCATCGCTCGGTTTTGGTTTGCTTAATGTTTAGTTTGTCTTTTATAACTCTTACATTGTTAAATGCTTCATTACTATGTAACAACGAATGGTTCAATTTAATAGAAAACGAAAATGGAGACGAAGATGTATCATATTTTATTGAACATTCCGAAATAGGTTATAAAGCAGGTTAGTAAAAGTACGTAATAAAAATAGAAAATTGAGCTACTACAATAACTTTCACCTGTCACTCGTTGATTATTGTTTAAGTTATTTTAACAGATATAGCTGTAGCAAAATGTTAAACTGAGGAAATATAACAATTTTTTATCGATATAGTAGTAAGTATAAATAACAGCGCCTTACAGCAGGCATAAATTACAAAAATTAGCAGCTTAAATTACGGCAGTTAAACTAATTATTCGTTTTTTTGTTGCTGAAAAACTTTAGTTAAAAGATAAGTAAATCCAAAATATAATATAACTTTCCGTATTTTTTTATGATTTTATTTTTAAATACTAAACATTTAAAATTTTATTGCAACATTTTTTTTTAAACGCATATTTCAGTTTTGGGATAACATTGATAAGAATGCTTAAGTCATCCCATGAACCAAGAAGCAAGCAAAGTTGGAGGAACGTCCTACATCTGATGAATCTTTAACAATTACATGAAGTATAATCAAACAAAGCAAACCCTGAATTAAAAGTGTTAATCTAAAAAAAAAATGCACCAATTCATCAAATGTCAACAGATCTAAAAACCGAAAATTAAACCCCAAACCTCTAAAACATTTGCATGTACAGTAGTCTCTCGCTTAATTGTGCACCCAATTAGTTGCGCATCCCAGTTAATTGCACGTTTAAGCGCAAAATATTTACAACAACAACAACAAGCTACTTATTTTCCGTAAATCATTTTACAATAGTTTTGATAATAATGATAATAATAATAGTAATAATAGCAAAAATATATAATAATAACATAAGATAAAAATAATAATTATACAAATTATAGTAATAGTAATAATAAGTATGTTTGCAATAATTACAATGAAAAAATAATAATAATAACTAATATTAATACAATAATAAGTTAATGATTTATTAGGATGGTGTCACTCATACAGAAATCTGATCAAAGGAGTGACACCAATTTTTAATATAATATTAGTAATAATAAGCAAAGACACACACTGAAACACACGGACCGTAAACACACAAACCAAAGCACATAAAATATACATCAAAAAAACATGTAGAAATCAAACTTCAGGTTTTACTAATAAAAAAAATAAAAAAAAAGTGCTGATGATAATTATAGTAATTGCTAAAAGAAAATTAAAATAATATTTAAATCATAAGGATAATAATGCCAAAAAGTTAGAATAAAAAGTTTTTCAGAATTTTTTTAAATTGATATAGTTTAAGATGGAGTAAAGGTATTTTAGGATACATTTTTTTGGACTCATTCAAAATGCATGCAAGGCTCCTGTTCCATTCACAGACGCACTGATAAACAATAGAACGTTTACCATACTTCTGGGTTTTAAAAGATGGTACATTTAGTTTTCCATTGTGTATATTTCTAGTCGAGTAGGAATGTAAGTCTACTTTCAGTGAACAAGTTTTTGATAGGATATGGTATATTTTTATTTGAGGAGTCAAAAACAAAAAGAAGATTAGCATACTTTACTAGCGCTGGAAATGTTGGAATGAAAAGTTTTTTGAAGAACTTTGACGTATCTGATTTAATTGGTTGGAAGTTTATTAATCTGATGAATTGACGCTGAGACGATAGCAACTTGTTAAAGATATAGTTTCCAACTTGACTCCAAACTTGACAACAATAGCTAAGATTAGATGAGAATAATGCATAGTAAATACTCCTAAGTGTAACTTTATCGACATAATGCCGAATTATTGAAAGCATACCGTTAGCTCGAGAACAATATAAAAGTTCAATGAAAGATAACAATCAATTAATACACCAAGATATTTAATAACTCTTGAAGGATATAACCGTTTATTATTAATATTGATTTTGATTTCAACATTTTTAAAGAAATTGTTTTTTCTTGGAGATGAAAAAAAAATTAGTTCAGTTTTTTCGGCGTTGAGACATATTAGGTTAGCATTTAACCAGTGAACTATACCTTTTAGATTCGAATTAACATTTTTACATAAAGAATGGTACGATTTGTTGATGTGCAAGAGATTTGTATCATCAGCAAACAGATGGACTGAAGAGAAGTGAACAGAGTTGATTAGGTCGTTAACGTAGATTAAAAAACAAAGAGGACCAAGGACAGAACCTTAAGGAACACCACTCAAAACTGATTTATAACTAGAATTGAAACCATTAATACTTACAAATTATTTTCGATCTGAAAGATAAGATCGAAACCAGTCATTTACAATACCACTAAATTTCTAAATTAATGTTTAATTTAGAAATCAAAATACTATGGTCAACGGTATCGAAAGTTTTTTGTAAATCGATATAAACACCACAAACAAAATGACCAGTATCAAGAGCTTTCCTGATTTTCTCCGTTTTACTTATTAATGCATGTCAAGTAGAATGTTTTGATCGAAAACCAAATTGAAAATCATTTAAACAATTAAATGAGTTTAGAAAAGAGTACACTCTAGAATACATAAGTTTTTCAAGAAGCTTACTAAAGTTAGATAAAAGAGAAATAGGTGTGTAGTTAGAGCATGAAAGTTTAGAGCCATTTTTAAATATTGGAATAACGCAAGATAATTTAAAATAACTAGGAAATTTTCGATTTATAAATGAGGTATTAAATAGTTTAGAAAGAATATTTGAAAAATTGTAGTTAAAATCTATTAGAATATTTGTGGGAATGCTGTTTGGACCTAATAATGTTTTTGGATTTAATTTAGATATAAGAGATGAAATTTTAGAAATATTTGTTGGAGATAATAATAAACTATGTAAATTTGGATGTTTAAGATATTTTTAATAGTTAATCTAAGATGAATGAATATTGGATTTGAGTTTATGAGCAACATTTGTAAAAAAAGTGTTAAATGATTCAGAGATTAAAGCCAGGTCAGTTATATATGTATCATTTTCTTGCAATCAGTTAGGAAATGATTTATGATCTAATGATCTAAAGATGATCTAAAATCAATGTTGTTTCAGTAATAAACGTTTGAAAACATGTGTTAGTATCAATGTTGTTTCAGTAATAAACGTTTGGAAACATGTGTTAGTATCAATGTTGTTTCAGTAATAAACGTTTGGAAACATGTGTTAGTATCAATGTTGTTTCAGTAATAAACGTTTGGAAACATGTGTTGTATCAATGTTGTTTCAGTAATAAACGTTTGGAAACATTTGTTAGTATTAATGTTGTTTCAGTAATAAACGTTTGGAAACATGTATTAATATCAATGTTGTTTCAGTAATAAACGTTTGGAAATATGTGTTAGTATCATTGGACTTTGTAATTTTGTCCCAGTCAATTTTTGATAAATCAGATTTAAAGTTTTCTTTATTAAAGTTTTTAAAACTCCTGCTATATAAATTGTGTCTGCGTGGTATAAATAATTTATTGAAATGTCCCAAATTTATTGGGACAAATACAAAATTGAGGTAAGTGATCAGAAACATAAGTTGTCAAATTTCCTGAAACAATTTCATTAGCTATTAAACTAGAGAAAATAATATCAATAATTGTAGCAGAGTGATCAGTAATTCTAGTCCGCAAAGTAATAAAAGGGCGAATATTATAAAAAGAAAATAAGTTTATAAAATCAGATGTTGCAATATCATTATTTGATTACATCAGATCAATATTATAATCACCAAGTAAGAAAACAGATTTATTTTCAGCAGATATTTTTTGAAGTAAGACAGACATTTAAAATTAACCATGCAAGGGTGTCTATAAATGCAACCAACAATAATACTAGACTTTTTAGAAAAAATAACTTCAACAAATGTGGATTCTAAACAATTAGGTGTATAAATCATTTATCATCTCTTCGTTTGTATATTAGTTTTTTTGATAAATATAATAATGTACCGCCACTAGAGGATTCCGTTGGTGTCTGCTCAATGTTGTAGTTATCAATGAGGATCGGATGAATTAAAGATGTACCGTTTTTTTAACCTTGTTTCAGTTATACCAATAATGGAAAAATCAAAATTAATTAATGATAATATTATGTTTAAATCCTTAAAGTATTTTTGTGACGATGATATGTTTAGATGAAAAAAGGAGAGAGCGCTTTTGTGATTCAATTTTTTACTGAGTTTGTTGAAAGTTTATTAAATATTATTTAAAGTTTATAAATATTATTGAAATTAAATAAAGTTTATAAATATTATTGAAATTAAATTAGAAAACGTAACTATTATTTTCCTGTGTTAAGTTGAAAAAAACTTTTATCATAAATATTTTGAGATAATGATTTTGTTAGAATGTAAATAGATAAATAATTCGAATTCGAATTCAAATTGAAATAAATGATAAATCTTGTTTTAAACAGATAATAATAAGATTTGACGATTTATCAGTCGTCTCATTGAAAAAACTTTAATAAAAAAGTTTCATTTTAAATTTAGCCTTCTATTCACAGTTCTCTTATTCCAACTTTTTTATCCTTACTTCTTGTGGCTAAAAGCAAAGGAAAAAGATTATCAGAAGATCAACGAGTCAAAATTATAGCTAAACTTAAAAAAAATGATGCGCTAAGCAAACGAACAATTGCAAGAGAATATAATGTAACTGAAAATTCAATTCGATCTCTCTGGAATAATTGAGATCAAATAGAAAAAAAAGAAGTTTACTAATGACAAAAGAAGCTAAAAAAAAAGTGTTTCGATTATCGTCTGGAAAATTTGAAGCAATAGAAAATGAGCTATATATTTGGGTTGATGCATTGCGTCGTTCAAAGATTAAAGTGCCTCCATCGTTAGCAATTATGAAAGCAAAAGAAATAGCACAAAAAAATTTTTTTTTTTTTTTTTTTTTTCAACCATATCAATAAAATTTACAAATTTCATCGTAAATTAATATAAATTGGTTAGGGTCACTCATATAGTTACAAACTAGTCGATGGAGTGACACCTAAAAAACATAAAAATTTCACAAAAAAATAAATAAATAAAAAAAAAAAAAGCAGCAAAAGCAAACAAAAGAGAAAACCAAAAAA